GAGCTATCTGGGAGCTAGGCTTTTTATAGATGCTGACATGAGAGTTAAGAGTTAATCCCTACAATCTTTCAGGAGGGCAATTTGGCAACATGTATCAACACTTTAAAATTTTGCATGACATTTAATCCAGTAGACCACTAGCCACTGATCCTAAGAAATACTCATGAATATGTGGAAAGATTTTGGCAACAAGGATATTGATTGCAGCTTTGTTTGTAATAATAAAACCCATTGCTTGTCGATTCTGACTCATAGCAACCCTACAGGACATAGCAGAACTGCCCCATAGGGTTTCCAAGGAGCGGCTGGGGGATTGAACTGCTGACCTTTTGGTTAGCAGCCAAATGCTTAACCACGGCACCACCAGGGCTCCTTTGTAATAATAAACACTTGGAAATAAGTATCCAAAAAGAAAAGACAGGCAGAAATATGGGGAAGATATACAAAGATATACAATGGAATATGACACAGCCATTAAAATGATATTGTACAAGGACATGTAGTGACATGGAAGAATTTTCCTTGCATATGGTTAAGTGACAAAAAATAGGTTACAAAATAGAAATGCACAATGTGACGGCCAAGAAATGACCAAATCAAAAAGCTATTACCACCCGTCTGTGTCTTTCTTCTCAGATTGAACATTCTTTGTTCCTTCAACCATTTGTCTTAAAAGCTGAGCAAATTTTCTGAACCCAAAGAGTTCAGAAGCCTTGGGGACCATCCTGAAACATACTTATGTGACATGGGTTCTACTTCCCATACTGTCTTGCTTAGTCTTGTTAAATGTGCTCTGGTTTAGCCGTGCTCCCTTTAAAGCATGGGTCTGGCCTGCAACTTTTTGTTTCCAGAGACACCATGGGGACAATGAACAACATTGCCAAGGTGATGCATGTTCACTAGGTAGACAGAATGGGAAAGGCATTCCAAGCAGAGAAAACAGAGCATGCAAAGGCACAGAGAGGAGAAACGTTCTGGCATGTTCTGGGAACGGAGAGCAAGTCCATGTGGCTGGAGCCTATCTGGAGTGATGAGGGGACCTGGAGTGAGCAGCCCATAAAGTGGAAAGGTAAACCAAAACCAAACCTGTTGCCCTCAAGTAGATTCTGACTCATAGCGACCCTATAGGACAGAGTAGAACTGTCCCATGGGATTTCCAAGGCTGTAATCTTTAGGGAAGCAGACTACCACATCTTTCTCTCTTGGAGGGGGAGCTGGCTAGCAGCCGAGTGCTTTAACCACTGTGCCACCAGGGCTCCTTAGTGGAAAAGCAGGCCTTTGTAAATCAATCTTTTTTCTACTCTTTGCGAAGCTGAGGCTGATGAACGGCGTGCTGAGATCTGTTTTAGAAAGAGGCCTGCAGGAGTTGTATCCTGGAAGTAGGGGGAAGTTTAAGCAAAGAATATATGCTTGGAGAACTTTTTAAACTTTAGGATCAGATGTGTTGCTCCTGTGCTATTTAAATGGCTTCTTCTGGAACCTTCTCTATTAATGGCATAAAAGAGGATTTGTTGGTGACTCCAAAGAACAATGGGACCACGAACCCAATCCATGCAAAAAGAAGGCTGTCGTGTCTCCTGCTGTTGTCCCATTCATGTTTTCCTGACCTTGGGCTTGGACAGCTCTGAGGAGGAGGGCACCAGTCCCAGGGAAGGGCGGTGGCTCTGGGCACAGCCTCCCCCCGCCTGCTGCTCTGCGGCGGAGGCCCTCAGCCCTTTCAGCAGCCTCTTAGACACCGTTAGTGGGACTGGTGTCTTTGTGTCTGAAGGGCTGAGGTGGGTCCACTGAGGGGAGGCTGCAGCCGACAGGATCTGAGCAGGAAGAATTTCGAGGTTTCTCTGAGGTCAACATGTGTTTGAAGTAATTCAGAATGTAACCAAAAACGTAATTAGGTAATATTTGTTTTTGTTTTCGTTTTAAAGGAAAAAATTCAAAACCTGTGACTCTTGTTCACAAGCACATGCCTGGATGCAGTCATTTTGAGCTTATGGAAAATGTGGTCAGCCCCATAAATCAGGACTAAGGAATCCTCAGAGTCATCACTGTGCCAGCAACACGGGTCTGTAGTAAGTCTCCTAAGGTTATGCAAAAAAACAGAATCAACATGTAGACAAAGCTACAACGTGGTCCCACTTGCCTCAGAAATTCTGTCCTGAGTAGCCATAAAGCAGCCTTGAACCCCATTTCCACCTAATCTGTGACATTTCTTGTATAGTTTCTTGCGTCCACCAGGATGTCCGTGGCTGTCACCATGACCACAAGGACACAGTTCTCTGCATCCATCTCTCCCAGGAATTTTAAAAGTTTAGATTTCTGTAAAGGAATGTCCATTTAAAAATAGGCTAGACAATCATAATTCATAAGAGCACTGAGAGTATGTTCCAATGTATCCTAATTCTTAAACATCTTGTAGAAAAACCAAACAGTTGCTGTCAAGTTGATTCCGACTCTTGACTCCACGCGTGTCAGAGTCGAACTGTGCTCCACAGGGTTTTCAATGGCTGATTTTTCAGAAGTAGGTTGCCAGGCCTTTCTTCTGCGGCACCTCTGGGTGGACTTGAACTTCCAACTCTTCAGCTGGCAGCCAGTTGTATTAACTATTTGTACTACCCAGGGACTAGACCTCCTGAACCTGAAAACTACTATTTTGTGAGACCGAAGAATGTAAGTTTAAGGAGGCATTGTGCTTCTCAAAAACACAAGGAATATCTTCAAGATATCAGTATAAACTTTCATTCAGAATTCATAAATAAGAGATTCAATTTAGGTATTATTTGTTAGAGGAAAATCCATCAGTTTTCATTCCATTGTTCTTGGATTAATACAATCGGCCTCTTCCCTGACCCCAAACAGTGTTGGTTCTTACATCTTGTAAGTTGTAGAATTTCTTTCTATTCTTCCTCTTTCCAACACCCCTCCCTCTTCTCAGGTTGACCCAGTTTATGAACTTGTTTCTGCCAAATTAGTCAGCGGGGAATGGAATGTTAACATATTTTAATAGAGATGTTTTTCAATTGCTCTGAAAAAAAGGGAGGTGGGGCTCGTACACTATACCAGCATATTCTGTCACAAAAAATAGTACTGCCGAACCTTAGTTTGGGTACCTTATGTTTTTATCACTCTGTTAGATGAGTCTCATTCATGTTGATAGAATTTCTTTCCTTTTCTCACAGAAACCAGGCGTGTAACTTATAGGGCCAAACACTACCTCGAGTTCCAACTTGATGGCCGACCCTCATTTCTGTTAACTGAAGAGTTCTTACTTTAAAATTTGCTAAAAAATTGTGTGCTGGTTGTGAGGAGTGTGCCTCTTAGCTCAAGTAGATACAAGAGACTAGACTGGCAGCTTCTGTCTGGAGGTGAGATGGGAAGGCAGAGAGGGTTAGGAGCTGGTTAAATGGACATGGGGAATCAGGGGTGGAAAGGAGGAATGTGTTGTCACAGTATGGGGACAGCAATTAGAGTCACATAACAGTGTATGTATAAATTTTTGTATGGGAAAAAATAAAAAAAATAAAACACAAATGTGTGCTGGATGCCTCTCATAGAGAAAGACATACATGTCATATGCCATGAGGGCCCCGTTGACTCATCATTCACAAGCCCTGGTTTCTTGCCATACTTGCCTGTTGTCTCTGCCACAGCTTGGAGCAGGAACAGCTAATTGGGCAGCAACTTGCAGGACTATAAAACTTTAGACCAAAGTCCCCTCAGCCACAAACCACCCATTGAAGAGGGAATGGGGTGGCAAGGACCTGCCTACCAGCCTCCACTCTAGTGTTTCATTAGCTGCACCGTGTTGAAGCCAGCGTGGGCAGGATACAGATGTGGGTATATCCAGTACACATTAATTGCAATATGGTTTGAATTTTTGCATCAGCTGCCCACAGACAGTAAAAACAAAACAAAACAAAACAAAAAAAAACAACTAAGTATATAATCATAATAATATTTGTCATCGGTGGAGAGTTACTGTGTGTTGAATACTGCTATGCAGTAGTTATTAGCATCTGCTTTAAATGGAGGAGGTTGAGAGGGCTTTGATGATGTGCCTGAAGTCTTCCAGCCAGGAAGGAAGTGGTGGTGCGGGGTGAGATTCAAACCTAAGCCTGCCTGATTTGAAAGGAGTTCAAATGAGACCCCTTTAATCTGCTTTGGGTCAGTGTGCCTGATTCTCAGAGAAGCAGATGGAAGATGCATGTTACTGATAGTTGAGGGAGAATTTGGTCCCAAGCTTCGCTCTTGTGCAAAAAAAGGAAGAGGTTAGCTCTTATAATAAGAAAGAGCAGTGGGTTTGATTTCGGTGGAACTGAGGTTGTTCTCACCATTGTTACTTACTATCTGAACCAGAACAAATTATTCAACTTCTCTTGTCCTCTGTTTCCTCATCTACAAAATGAAGGCATGGGCTACATGGTTTCCAAGGCCTCTGTTGGTTCCATCTTCTCTAACCCCTCTAAGCTTGAAGACGCTCTAAACTTGGCCCTGCCAGATTCAGGGTGGATGCTCCATAGGCAGAAGATCTCCCTATGGTGCTGGGCCAGTTGAGCCCAACACCTGCTGGAAGGTGGTGGGAGTTTTCTACGGTCCCTTTTTCCCTCGTCCCACCCTTATGGGGCTAGCGTTCTGCTTCTCATCACTGGCCACTGTAGTGAGGACCAGCCAATCTCCCTCCTGAGACTGCCCTAAGTTAAGAGTCAGCCTCACTTTATCTACTCACTTTACCTATGAATGAAGAAGCTTAAGTCCTAGGAAGTTAAACCCGAGGTATTTCTGTCAAAAATCCTTTGTGGAAAAGTAAATCACAACTCAAAGCTCTTGTAAAAGACAGAATTTTGAAAAATATTACCTGATCTTTCACAACATGAAATAATATGTGAATTTGTGTATTTGGAATTATTCTAGCTCTGCTGAACAAAGACAAAGGAAGAGAGAAAAAGAATGTGTGTGTGTGTGTATGTGTATATGTGCGCACACGTGACACCATTCACGAGTCCTACCGTGTCTCCTGGCTGTGGACGCATCACAGACACACGATCATATCCTTTCCTTAGGAGGACCCACAAGGCATCGAGTTTTCCCTGAAATAAAACAAATGCACCAGGATTACATATGAAACCAGGCCAGTGGCCAGCACAGGCATGTAGAATCTTCTCCAGTCATTGTTCAACACCATACCAGCAATGTGGTATGACGGGGGAGTCACCCTCTGTTCCCCAAGTTCATAATGTGGGCTTCATGAATGTAGCAGGAGAGAAGAGACACACAGCAAAGAACCCTTGATGTTTATGAAGAATATGCCCTGAGAGCCAGTACAGCCCCAAATCTGGAAACATGGTGAAGCTCATTCATTCAGGGTCTCGGCTTTTTCCCTTATCACGTCTGGACATAGTCTCACACCACAAGTTAATCTTTTTAATTTTCACTAAAGATTTTTCTTCCACTTGGTGACCAGAATTCATAAATGACAACAATGGTGACAACTTCAGGAAAGTAACTAAGGTGAAGAGAAAGACCAACTAAAGGCTTCTGGGATGTAGATTCCTGGCCATCTGTGAGGCTCATTCACTGGCCACAGGTTGGTCAGGAAGCACAGCCTCTCCATACACATTTTGTGCCTCAACAAAGTGACAATTACCTAAATCACAGACCTTTGGGATGGCAGACAGTTGATTGAAACAGTAAAGAGTGAATCTCTGAGTGTCAAGGATTTCACGGTATGTGATAACAAAAATACCCAAACCAGTTGTTGTTGAGTTGATTCTGACTCATGGCAACTCCGTGAGTTTCACAGTAGAACTGTGCTCCATAGGGTTGTCAGTAGCTGATTCTTCAAAAGTAGATTGCCAGGTCTTTCTTCCAAGGTGCCTCTGGTGGATCTGAACCGCCAACCTTTCAGTTAGCAGCTGCACTCTTAACCATTTACACCACCCAGGGACTGCAGAATGTGATAAAGGCTGTCTAATGCCTCTGGCCATTCTAGCTCCCAAGATATGTTGAATGGAGGCTGGTTTCTTCTACTGCAGAAAATTTTACTAAAGGAAAAATGACATCTATTTAGCTTGTCGCTTAGTATTAACTATGGGAGGCGACTCTGTCAGTAGGCAGGAGTCACCTTTACTTTGCCTTATTTTTCTTCACAGACTTGTGGTTGGCCTCTAGGGGCAGATTAACTAGTAAGCAAGGCACACACAGGCTTACGGTAAAGCAAGGCATACATGGGCTTACTTGTGGTTACTTAGGACCCCTAATCTTTAGGGAATGATTTCACACGAGTTCTTTGTTGTGGTGAAAAACAGGTAAAATTGTGCACTACAGGTTAGTAAGTAAGCATGAGTGAACTCATGTGTACCTTGCTTATTGGGTAATCCATCCCTGATATTGGTCCCCCTGATGCCCACGTCCTAATCCTGAGAACCTGGGAATATATTACCTCGCATGGCAAAAGGGACTTGGGATTAAGTTAAAGATCTTGTGATGGGAAGCTTATCCTGGATTATCCAGGTGGGCCCTAAATGTAATCAAATCACTAGGGTCCTTATAAAGGGAAGCGGTAGGCTCAGGGTCAGAGGAGATGTGACAAGAGTATCAGAGTGACAGTGATTCAATGTGAAAAGGACCCAACCCACTGTTGCTGGCTTTGGAGATAGAATGAGACCACAAGTCAAGAAATGCAGGCAGCCTCTAGAATCTGGAAAAAGGCCAGGGAAAGCATTCTGTCCTAGAGTCTCCACATAGAATGCAGTGGGCTGACACCTTGAATTTAAACCAGTGAGCCCCATTTTGGGCTTCTTACCTTCAGAACTGTAAGATAATAAATCTGTGTTGTTTTAACTCACTAGGTTGGTGGTCATTTGTTACAGCAGCAATGGGAAATGAATACAGCCCTTATCATTCCCTGATATTTTCTATGTTTATTTGCTTATCGTCTGTCTCCACCACTGGAATGCTAGCTCCATGAAAGCAGAGGTGTCCTTGGTTTCGTTCACTGCTGTATGCCAAGACCTCAGGGCAGCATTTGGTGTTGAACAAACATTCTTTGGATGAATGAATATATCTGGTGCTACTGTGTGCTGGGCCAGTGCTTTTACACGTGTTATCTCATCCTTCCAACAGTCCCAAAGGTTATGGACAGGAAATAGAGTCAGAGAGGTCAAGTAATTTTCCAAAGTCACACAGCTTATAAATTGGATATGTGTGATAGGAACTCGTGTCTGCCTAATTCCAAAGTTCATACACTTCCTATTACACAGATTCTTCCTCTGCAGAGCTCTCGGCTGGAGAGCTTTAATTCAGATCCTTTAGAACAGGGTTTCTAAGCTCTGTGTTGCAATGCTTGAAACCATTATGAAATTAACTTAGTGTGTTAGGACCAGAAATTTTAAGAAATGAAATAGATAAAAAAAAGAAAATATTGCATTTAATTACACAATAAGGATAAACATTATTTTGTGAAAAATCTGTTTCAGTTAAATGTGTGTGTTTGTAAGAGACAGACAGAGAGACAGAGAGATAAGGAAGGAGGGATTGAAAGAGAGAGCAGACTAGAGTTCTTGTGGGCTAAACTTTGTCTTGCTAAGTGTACCGTTTCTTCTCATCCCTTTGGCAAGGAATTTACAAAAGCCTCTAAGAATATTTTGAAATGACTTGAGAATGCTGGATAGAATGGGTGATGTGTTCAGCACAGTTTTCTGCATTAAGCCATTTAGATCATCAGTTAAATGTTTTCCTTTAAGGTTCTTTTGGATAAGCACTTATATTTCAGGATATGTTGTTGTTGTTAGGTGCCGTCGAGTTGGTTCCGACTCATAGCGACCCTCTGTACAACAGAACGAAACACTGCCCAGTCCCGTGCCATCCACACGATCTTTGCCACGTTTGAGACCACTGTTGCAGCCACTGTGTCAATCCATCTTGTTGAGGGTCTTCTTCTCTTTTGCTGACCCTCTAACTTTACCAAGCATGATGTCCTTCTTCAGGGACTGGTCCCTCCTGATAACATGTCCAAAGTATGTGAGACAAAGTCTTGCCATCCTAGCTTCTAAGAAGCATTCTGGCTGTACTTCTTCCAAGACATAATTGTTCTTCTGGCAGTCCACAGCATATTCAATATTCTTTGCCAGCACCACAATTCAAAGGCATCAATTCTTCTTCGGTCTTCCTTATTCATTGTCCAGCTTTCTCATGCAGATGAGGATTGAAAATACCATGGCTTGGGTCAGGCGCACCTTAGTCTTCAAAGTAACAGCTTTGCTTTTGAACACTTTAAAGAGGTCTTTTGCAACAGATTTGCCCAGTGTGATATGTCATTTGATTTCTTGACTGCTACTTCAAAAAAAAAAAAAAAAAAAAAAAAGGCATTTGTCCAGGAAATCCACCTGGTTATATCCTATCTCCCTCCTTTCAGGATATAACCAGGGGAATATCCTGGACAAATGCTTCTTTTTCTTTTTTTTTCCTTCCCTTTCTTAGGCCAGTATTTGGTTATGCAAATCAGCCCACCCACAATGCTCTGTGTGTTAATCACTCAACTCCATGACAAATGAGGAGCAATGAGATGGGACTGGAAGAAGACGAACTGGATGTTGAAAAAATGTATTAATTAACTCCACAGAAATTTAAAGCTACACACATTAGCAGAAACCACCTAACCCGCTGCGGTCCAGTTGACTCATAGCGACCCTACTGGACAGAGTGAGAACTGCCGCATGGAATTTCCAAGGCTGTAATCTTTATGGAAGCAGACTGCCACATCTTTCTCCCGCAGAGTGGCTTGTGGGCTCGAACCACTGATCTTTCTGCTAGCAGCTGAGCGCTTAACCACTGTGCCACTAGGGCCCCTTAAGAAATCACCTAGATATACCACAATGGGAGAATGGGTAGTACATTACATTTCTTTGTGGCAACAGAGCAAAGAATAGTCCTTAAATGCAAAGGGACTGGAATCAGACTGTCCTAGTCCAAACTCTGGGTCTGCCCCTCACTAGTTAGCAGTCTTTTACAAGTCGTTTTATCTCCCAAGGCCTTATTTTTCTCATCTTTAAACGGGGATAATAATAATGTCTACTCTAAAGACTTTTTTATAAAGTTTTAAATTAGATATTGAAGGTAAGCACTTGTCTCATAGTAAGTACTCATTAAATGTTATCTTTGATTATGGTGTTCACGGAAGCAGCAGTCAAGAAATCAAATACAGTGCATTGGACAAATCTGCTGCAAAAGACCTCTTTAAAGTTTTAAAAATCAAAGACGTCAGATGTCACTTTGATGCTAAGGTGTACCTGAACCAAGCCACGGTCTCTTCAATCACCTCAAGTGGTTGTTAGGTGCCGTTCAGTTGCTTCTGACTCATAGTGACCCTATGTACAACGGAAAAAAAACACTGCCTGGTCCTGCGCCATCCGCACAATTGGTGTTATGCTTGAGCCCACTGTTGCAGCCACTGGGTCAATCCATATTGTTGAGGGTCTTCCTCTTTTTCACTGATCCCCTACTTTACCAAACACGATGTCTTTTTTCCAGGAGCTGATCCCTTCTGATAATATGTCCAAAGTATGTGAGATGTAATCTCACATTCTTGCTTCTAAGGAGCATTCTGGCTGTATGTCTTCCAAGACAGATTTGTTCATTCTTTTGGCAGTCCATGGTAATACTCAGTATTCTTTGCCAACAACATAATTCAAAGGTGTCAATTCTTCTTCAGTCTTTCTTATTCATTGTCCAACTTTCACATGCATACGAGGGATTGAAAACACCATGGCTTGGGTCAGGCACACCTTAGTCTTCAAGGTGACATCTCTGCTTTTTAACACTTTAAAGAAGTCTTTTGCAGCAGATCTGCCCAATGCAATGCGTCGCTTGATTACTTGAAATACATAGTAAATAATCTGACCAGTGTTTCCCCTCAAATGAACTAAATTAATACATAAAGTTGCAAACTCCCTCCTCCCACACACCCACAGGGTGATTTTTGTTTTGCCTTTTTTTTTTTTTCTTTTGGTCTTAAAAAAAGTTTGCAATTCTTCTAAAAAAGTAGTCAGAGAGGGACAGAGTCTGCCCAACACGAGCAGCCCATCTGACA